CAGATTAGGTCATTTCTTTTCCAGTAAGTGAGTTGGCTGCTTATGCATTCTCCTGCGGCACCAGTGCCAGACACATTTCTCAATCCTCCTCCGCTGGTTGGACAAGGCCAAGAACAGACCGTTTCCACCTTCCTTACATCAGTCTGTCAGGCTGTGGCAGGTGGCTCTGTTGGACGGCCACTGCCCTTGTCCCGGCTGTCCGGGTGACTGTCTGCCTCCAGCTCCAGTGACGTCAGGCAGATGCTCCACCTGCAGACGAGAACAGCTGCTTCTCTGGACAGTGACTCTTCCGGTTGGAATCCCAATACACATAACATGAGAGCATGACAATAGCTTGCGGCTCTCAGTGTGCGTTCACACAGGCCGGGCGATGTTCTCCAAAGCATCTGGAACAAGCCAGATTTTCATCCCCCTGGCAGAGGGGTAGGCCAAGCCCTGCTGCTTCTTCTAGTTGAGTGAAGACGGACCTGGGTTCCTGTTCACCTAATGGCAGGTGATGTGGGAATGGCATTGCCAGCACAAGTATTTGATCACAGCTTACGGTTTCCCATGGTCATGGTGACCGTGGTTTTTAAGATCCCAAGAAAGTGCTGAGCCCAGTTACCTATTTTCATTTATTTTATTCATTCCTTGCTGAGAACTGATCGCCCTTCAGGTTTAGGGACAACTTTTGGGAGTGGGTTTTGGGGAGAGCAGAGAGAACCAAGACACCTAAGATGGGTTTGCAGCTCAAGGAGTCTGTCATATGGATGGGGAGGTCATGTTTGCTGGACAGCCTCTGACATCAGCCCTTTTTACACCTTTGCCCACAAATCTGCAGGGATCCTGGGGAAATGCAGATCCTGATCTGGGCGGCAGGACTCAGCAGAGCTCACGGTGCTGATAATGTGGCTGCTTCAAGGACACACGCTGAGGAGCAAGACCTGGGAGGACATCTGGGCTCACAAGCTCATTTTCAGAAAGGTCCACCTAGGAAAGGGGAGGCTCCATGCACACAGCTGTGATTGGAGGAGTGCTTACAGTGGGGAGAGCGTGGGATCAGAGCCTTCTACCTCCCCTCTCCTCCTCTATTGTTGTCATCTCATCACTTCCCACATGCAGCACCCCGCAGTTGGCAAATGCTCCCATGTGGCCCATGTCAGCCTAGGGGACATCAGCTACGTCAAATCGTAGGGGATCTGTCCCTGCTCTCAGCATTAGCTTGGCTTGTCCCCATTGCTCACTCCAGGGACCTGGCCTTGCACCATAGTCCTCAGGGCAGCACCCATTAGTCCACTGACCTTCGCCAGAGCAGAGGGAGCATGGAGTCAGCATCATCAGAAACATGAGGGGCACGTGCTATATTGTTCTAGCACTTTCCTGTATGTTCCAAAGCATGTCTGACAAAACCAGAGGATGCAACAGGATTCCTTCACAACCCTTCCTCTCTCCTCTTAAGACTCTTTTATTTTACTGTCTTTTATTTCCTTCCTATCCCCATTTCTCACCACTCCTCACCGAAGACGTCAAGTTGGCCCTCAGGGCCTGGGGTCTCTGCTGACTCTCAGACAGCCTCATTGGTTCCTTAGATGATGGTTCCTCTTAGGACTGAACTCAGTACTTCATTAAATACATGGTTCTAATGAGCCTCCATACTTAATAAGCAATATTCATTATCCTGATAAATATGACCCCTTGAAGCCTGTACATGAAGATGCCACAATCCCAGAGCCCCCGTGAAAGAAACGTGTTCTTCCTGGCCTCCTGGGGCTCGTCCCAGAGGCAAGAGGGAGAGCTGGGTGGAGAGATTTCAATAACATCTATTGATTGCTTGATAGAAATATGATTAGAACAGCCTTGTGCGGGGTCCTGTGGGACAGGGTGGGGTTGGGAAGGGATGCAGAGTCATATGAGACCTGGAACTCTCCCTCAAGGATTACTTTTTGGGGGAGATGGAGAGTACCTGGCTGAAGGCAAGAAGAGGTGTAATAAAGAAACAATGCCCTTCTAAAGTGAATCCTCCTGACTGCGAGATCAAGAAAGGCTTCATGGAAGAGGCAGCATTTGAGACTTCATTGATGAGGTAGAATTGAATGGATGGAAGAAGAGATGAGAGAGGGCATGCTGGGCTGGAGAAGGGCTGGAACAAAGGCACAGAGGCCTACAGAACGCATGACCACCAAGCTGTGGGCCTGTGCGAAGGGCAGAGTGGGAGACGAACCCGGGCTGAGAGGTGAGGACCAGGCTCAGGAGGGCCCAGAGGGCAAGTGAAGCAAGGGACCTGTGTCCTGAAGGCAAAGCAGGAATGACCAAGGCAGACAGAGTGCCTGTCTGGGGGTGAAAGGACAGGTCCTAGGAGGCACTCAAGTGTTGAAGGAAGAAATGATCAGACCTATACTTTAGTTAGCTTTTCTCAGAATGTGTTTGATGAGAAAGGAGTCCATAATCAAACAGACATAGGAAATGCTGCATGACCCTCAATTAAATGTGTTTATTTGCTACAGAACCTCCAGAGCCTTTTATCTAGTGCATCTACACGGAAATCAAGAAGAAAAGTTGGCAGTGAGCACAGGGGAGGTGGGCTCAGCCTTTTTCAATGTACATGAGGAAAGGACTTTGTGGGCCATTGATCCATTGAACACAGCAGTGTGAACTGCTGCTCCCAGAGCAGTCACTCCTGGGGTATTGGAGGGTGGCCTGAAAGGGCCTGGACTGAATGTGGGAGGACCAGGGACAGGATGACGTGGTCATTGTGGGAGAGTGCAGAGGCGGCTCCAAGACAGTGGCTCTAGGGATGCTCAGAAGGTAGGTGGCCAGGGGTCAGGGCAAGATCCACCCTGGGATGACACCTGGTCACTGTGTGTTTCCTCCCCGTTGGTGGGCCGGAGCACCTTGGAGTAAGACGACCAGACAAAGGAGGGCTAGAGGCTGTGAGCTGAGGGAGTCTGAGGGGGTCGCTTGCTCCTTCAGTTCTTGCAGAGCACGGCCAGCAAACCCTGGCTAAGGCCCCATCCCTGCTGTTTCCTTTCTTTCTGGTCACGGCTCTCCTTTACCGGGAGGGACAAGCAGCACAAGTTTGTCCTGTTGGGCCATGCCAGGGCTCTTCCTTCCAGGGGCCTGACCCCACAGCACCCTGACTGGCCTGATGGAGGTCAGCTCCCCTTGGTCCCCAGCCCCGCCCCCTAGGCCTCCATTAGTGGTCCTAATCTTGACCTCTTCTCTCCAAGAGGATAAGAGGGTTCCCGGATAACCCTGCTTTCATTCTCTGGTGCCCCGTCCTCCCCTCTCAACCCCAGGCTCACACCGGCCCCAAGCCCTTCATCGTCCCCTCTCACTGCTTCTTGGCATCCAGGGTACGGGTCTTTCTAACCTTCTACACATTCTGCTAATTCTCCTCACGAAAGGCAGGAAAACCAGGTTAGTCAGGTGCGCAGTGTGGGGTCCATGGGGCAGGGAGGGCGGGCCGATGGGGCGGGTCCCGCAGGGGAAGGGGCGGGTCCTGCGGAGAGGGGAAGGGGGCGGGTCCTGCAGAGCCGCTGAGAGGAAAGCCAGGGCTCCCACCCTCAGATGGTAGCTCGTAAGCGCTCACTCAAGCACTCCGGATGAGTGCTGTGCCCTGGTCCGCGCGCCCGACCTGCCGTTCGTTGCTCCTGTTCCCGGTGTGTCCGGCACTCCACGTCCACATGCTGCCCTGGGGCCTTTGGGCCTCTGGGTGGACGGGCTTGGCGCTCGGTCTCCACGCAGCCTCGCGCTGTTGCATGTAGATGGGGCTTTCTGTTCAGATCCTGGCGGGGGCTCTTGACTGGGCCTGAGCACACAGCTGGGGGGCCCATGCTGTCAGACCCTGCTGGCCCTGATGCGGGAACCTTCCTCAGGGAGCAGTGCCACCCTGAGCAGTGACCTGGCCTCTCTCTGCAGGAGGCATAGAGGTGACCCTGAGGCAAAGGGAAGTGAGGGCCAAGGTGGCATCTCAGAAGGTGCCTTGGGAAAGCTAGGAAACCGTGACTGAGATGGGGAAATCGGGCCGTGGGGCCAAGCTTTACGGGACAGCAGGACGCGTGGCAGTCGGCGGGATGGCAGGGGAAGGAAGTGAAGGCCTGGCTGTGCGGCGATGCCAGCTGGGAACGCGAGTGCGATGCTCGGGGCTGTGGAGGCCGCCAGCCCCCAGCCCTGGCCTCAGCCCCTGGGTCTCAGTGGGACGTGGAAGGACACGCTGCACCCTCAGAACCGGCTGGATGCGCTAGCTGTCTCCTCCCCGTCCCCCACCTGCTCCGGGCTTCATCCTGAGGCGGAGGGAGCAAGGAGAGCTCCTGAGTGCGGTGGGCACTTTTGTTTTGGAGACCCCTGGTGTAGATGGGAAGGGCTGGAGTCAGGAGAGGAGAATGGCCTGGGGGTGGAAGGGAGGTACCTGGGCTACAGAAGGCAAGTGGGGACAGACCTCCAGCTCAGATATGACAGGGGTAGGGCAATGTCCTCCTTTTCTGAAAACAGAAAGTGCCACCATAGCCTTTCTGCTGAAATGATGCCCTTTACATGCAGTCCCACATGCTGGGCCCAGGCACACCCCCTCCAACACACTCACACACACTCAGAGGCAGCCCAGCTGTGCACAGACCCATCCTGAGCGCAGAGCTGGGGTCACAGCCTCAGACAGCTGCACAAGGCTTTGTCCTCCTGCCAAGGCCCCTGCAACAACCAGCAGGAGCACTCCTGGCACAGCCTCTACTGTTGACGCCATCTCCCTCATCCCCTTCCCCTATGAGTTATTTGAACTTCGGATGCCCTCCACCTGGAGGGCCAGCCTGGTGATGTCACTGGCTGATGTCACCGGCTGTAAAGGATCAGGAGCACACTTCAGTTTCCCCACCCTCCTGCACCTGGCCAAATGCCCAGGTATGCACTCCATCCCTCATCGTTGCTGGAGTGCAGTGGGGCCAATATGGCTAATAGGGAACCTCAGAGATCCTGATGTTGCCCACGCTTGGGCTGCAGGCTGAAGCTCTGAGCCAGGTATTAGGACGGGTATGCTTCTGTTGCTGGGGCCACCTGAGAGGTCAGAGACAGTGACCTAGGAGCCTCTCTTCTCCCATTTCCTCCACGGCCAGTTTGCCATGGGTGGCAGCACCCTCTACCAACGCCCAGCTTCTCTGTCAAGTCCCATTTCCAGGGCAATGCCCACACCTTGCCCTTGTTCCTTTACACCTCAAAAGGTCACTGCTCTCTGCTCTTTTTGGTCTCCTTAGCCCCCTCCCACACCTTTATAAATAGACTCTTGACCATCAGATGCCCCCGTTGGAGTGCGCCGGGGTTCTGACTGGTGCTGCTGGCTGGATGCTGCTTGTTCTCACACAGCTCTCCTTGGATTCATTCCATGTCCTTGACAAGGATTCATTGAGCTCCTACGGGGTACACCAGGCCTGTTTAGGTGCCAGTACAGGAAGGAATAAGACTTGGGTCCTGGCCTACAATAGGCAGAGACAAAAGTAGGGGGAGGAGGTGGTAGGGAGAGTCAGGGACCTGTGACCCTAGTGCCCCCAGTGGTCTCCCCGACGTCCCAATGCATGTCCCAGAGGGGGAATGGTGCCAGTTGGCAGTGTGGTGTAGTAGTCCCTAAGTCAGCTGTGTCAATGGAGAACATAAGTAACCGTCGTGTGATAGTTAAAGATAGTCCAGTATTATCATTCCTCATTTTTTATCAAAAGGGTCAATAAAACCATCCATGACAAGGTTAGATTGTCCTCCCACCAGGTTTGTCATGCTCTGCTTCTGCACATGGGATGGGCGACACAGGCAACATGGGCAACACACACACATACACACACAGGCACACAAAGTAACATTCTATATATCTGTGGGTACAAATGTATTTACTCAAATGCTTAAAAAGGACTAGAAGCATCCACACGAACCTATGCCTGTGCCCCCTCTGAGGTTATGGATAGTGGCAAAGGGCAGATTTAACTTTATCTATAAAGTCTGAGTTCTTAGCAAAAAATGTATTCCTGTGTTCCTTGAGTAATTAAAATTCAGTAGCTTAAAAGAAAATATAATGAGGAAATGTTGTATTCAAAAGTAGGATCCTACAATATTAAAAATATACAGAAACCTCAAGAATTGTTTAAAAACGAAATAAATAAATAAGTAGAACCATGATTGGTTCCCTCACTCTTATTCGATCAGATCCGTTTAGTCACTGTTTACTGAGCTCATGGTGTGGGGAGAGGAAGATGGACATCAACTTTCTACCACGGTATGTCCGAGGGGGCCCTGTGCGAGCCCAGAGAGGGGCCCTGCCCAGTCAGCGGAATGAGGGGAGGCTTCCAGGAGTGACTCTAAGTGTAAACCAAAAGGCCAGTAAGGCGTAGGTAGCGGCAAGGATGGGAAGGGGAGAGGTGGTCGCAGCAGAGGTGGAGGAAACCCCATAGATGGAGGGACCCAGAAATTCCCCCACCTTCCTGTCCTGTGGGAAGGGGACCAGTCCCTGACCATTGTGAGCCACCACCATTTCAAAGGAGGAAGGCCACCCTCAGGACACCAGGGCTAGGCCCCCTGCCACTCATCACCACTTGCTCGCTGACCCGGACGCTCACTCCGCCTCTCTGTGTCTGAAGGAAGGATCTAGATCAGATGCTTTATAAGAACCTCTCGTTCCTCTCTGGAAGGAGCTTGGGGCTTCTCAGGTTGTTTACAATCCCCAGTGTGGTCCTCTCAGGGCCGTCTTGTCCCCAGTCCACACAGGTCTGCGTCTCCTTCACAGTGCCCTGTGGCCATTCGGCATGGGTGTGCCCACCTCGGCCCACACAAGAAGGGTGCCAGGAGTTGAAAGAGCATCTGTCAGACAGATGGAAATATCCAGTCTTGGGTGACGGACGTGGCCCTCAAGGCCTCTACCAAGAGGGTCCTTGGAAAGCTGGAGTCATGGAAAGCAAGGCTGCACACCTTGGCCATCTTCATTCTCCAGGGACCTGTAATTACAGCTGATGATAATCCTGCTGTTTTTCCTAATTAGTGCCTTAATACCTCATGCAGGCTATTAACAGGCTGGTGCAGTGGATACACATCTTTAGATGTAATTAGTAATGTTGTTAGCCTAATCCATAATCAATACTCGGGTAATTGCTTCCTTGGGTTTATATTTAGTCCTCGGGGTCTTGTGCCGTGAGGAACATCCATCTGCAGACGTGCTAATGAGTGTGCATTGGTCGCTGACAGCCCAGCTCACCCAAGACACCTCAGGGGCACAGCTTGGCTGAGCGGACACTGATGAACAGACAGGAGGCTGTGGCCCCAGAGCTCGCCTGGGACCCTCTGGAAGCTGTGGCTGCAGTGCCTCCTTAGTCCATCAAGGACTTGAGCCCCTGCTCTGAGACTAGGGCGTCTATTTCAGAAACCAGGGCAAAGGGTGGCCCCAGGGCCTGGGAGATCTCAGACCATGGGCAGTGCCCTCTGCATTGCCACCTTTTCAGAAGAATCTAGGGAGGGTACTGGGGAGAGTCCCCTCACTAAAGATGCTGGGATGTCACGGCCTTCATATTCCTCCTCTGCAGCTTCCTCTGCTCTCCCCCTCAATGTCCAGCAGTCCACGGCCTGCCTCCTCGGCTTGCCGGGAAGCCCACGGCTGAGCCCAGCACCGTTTCCTCTCTCTCAGAGGCTGGCGGCAGTGATGGTGGCTCAAGGTCAGCCCAGAGCATCGGGAGAGGAGCCTGTCGAAGGCAATCCTTATGAATGGGCTCTCATCTGACTGTAATTGGAATTAATATTGAGGCTCCGCTTCCAGGAACTTCCTCAGCAGACGAATCTGGGCCGCAGAGGTCTGGGCTGGAATGCTCCTAAAGCCAGCCATAAATCTCTCCCCAAAATGACGATGCACAAGCTAATTGCTCTGGAGGCACACAGCATGTCATTCTGCGTCCTCCCAGGCTCTGCTGCTTGCTGGGAACGGGGCCAGGGAGAGGTGGACGGGAGTTGGCAAAGTCACCGTGAAGGAAAACATTTTAATTCATTTAATTATGAGCCTCTCAGAAAACCGAGCTCTGTTTCTTCTTGAGCTGGTGAAAGGAAATGAGAAGTGACACTTTCCCACCCCCACCTTTCCCTTGGCTGAGGAAGCGCTGGGTTGGAAGTGTTGGGTGTGGGCAGCACCAGGCTGCGTGCATCCAGGAGCAGGGCCCTGGGGCCAAGAGTCCGAGCAGGCCTGTGCCTCCTGCTGCTGACCAGCTCGTGCTCTCTCTCTCACACACATACACACACAGTCAGCATTGTGTCCTTCTTTTTCCCTCCACCATGCACAAGGTTTCGTGTTGGATCCACCCCTTTGGTAGTGTGCTAACGTTTGTACTCTTTCTTCCTTTTCTAAGCACCTGTTCAAGCAAGATGGTTAGAGACATGAAACTTCAAATAATAATCATAAACTTCTAAATAATAATCAATAAACCTTTAATGATAAGCCCTTCACCAGAGTGTCTTTACCTATCTGCCTCTCCATCTATCCGTGACACATGATACGTGGCAGCTTCTTCATGATGTGCCCCGTCTAGTTACGGAGTGCTGTTAGTTACTGAGTATGTAGACAGGGACTCTGTCACCCCAGAGTTTACGTCTCCTGGGGGGGGGTCGCTGAGTAAAGACAAATGTCTCCAACAGTGGGAGTGGCACACACCCTAACAAAGCAGCCCCTAACCAATACCTGGCCCTGTGGGACACCCTGCCCCTCAGAGTTCCTATGGAACTCATTTTGCTCCACCTCCACTCCAAGGTGCAGACAGGAACCTGAGGGTCCAGAAAGGATGCAGGGTTCAACCCTGGTCTGGATTCAGAGAGCAGTGGTGGAAGAACTCAGACCTCCCAATTTCTCCCCCAGGACGGTTCCCCCAAACCCTGCTGCTCCATTTTGATGAGTAGTTATTGGGTCTTTCCGGCCGCTGTGGGCTGGCGGCCAGGAGGCTCCTCCAGGACTCTGCTCTGCCCGGGTTTTGGGTCTGGGCAACTTAGGCCAGGCCAGCAGGTGAAGCACATGCCAGAAGGGCAGTGGGAACATCAGGACTTTATACCTCACTTCTCAGGGCAGCTAGTGGAGGCGAGTGAGGGCAAGAGACATGGCCTGTTCGTGCAGGACGAGGAACGAGGTCCTGGTTCCACCCTGCACTTCTAGGGCTGGGCCCACCTGTTCCAGGCAAGGAGTTGAGGGTTGGGGAGGGGACTAATCCATGTGTGGAGGACCGCAGCCAGTTCTCCCCAGGAGAGGTGAGGACACTGCCCTCTGGTCAAAGCTGCTTCAGGGAGGGACAAATGGAGTCTTAGCAGCTTCTTTAGCTCCTCTGCCTCAGTGGACATCCTGCTGACAAGTTTGGCCTCTGCCTGTGTGCGGACACTCCCGCAGGGCAGAGGCTCCAGCCAGCCTGGGCCTGCTCCAGATAGGCCAGCAGGCAGCACCCAGCCAGCCCTGAGCACACATCCATTTGTTTTGCTTATTGAACCTGGGCTGAAACAAGATGACCCCATCATATACTGTGGGGCCCCAGGGAGGAGACAGAAAATAAACATGTAAATAAATAAACATGTAAGGCAATTTCAGAGAGGGATGCATGCTATGAGGAAAATAAACAGGGTAACGGGAACAAGACTGAGGGCTGGTGCGGTAGAGGTGTCATGCAAATGTAGCTAGGTGGCGGGAAGGCCTCTTTGTCGAGGCAGCCAACAAGAAGCCAGCTGTACACACAGCTGTCCAGGGTAAGGGAGCAGCAGAGCAAAGGCCCTGTGGCAGGAATGGCCTTGGAGCATTCCAGGAGGGAAGAAGGTGGCAGGTGCCATGGAGCCACATGAGCTAGGAAAGTACAAAGGCCAGCGAAGCAGGTGGCCAGCCCCATGAGGCCTGGGGCTTGGGTTCCGTTCTAAGTGCAGAACAGCAGGATTTGGAGCAAGAGTTGACCTGGTTGATGCTTTTAGAAGAGTCAGTCTGAGAAGCCCTGGATGCCAGCCTGAAGAGGTAAAACTTTCTCCTGGAGGAGACAGGAAGCTGAGGGAGGCTTTTCGGCAGAGAATTGGCTGTTCTTGCTCATCTTTGGCCCCTTGCCCTGCCCAAGTGCAAATGCCTGCAGGCCTTGCACCTGGCAGCTGTGGGAACTGGTCCCTCCTGGGAGAGTTCACGTACCTGTGCAGGTGCTGGGTGCTGCCATCAGCCCAGCTCCACTCTTCCAAGCTGTAAGGCCTGAGACAGAATCTCTCTTCTCTAATCTTCCATTTTATTCTCTGAAAAACAGACATAAAATTTTAGACAATAACCAGCAACTCCAGCCAAATACCACACAAAAAGCAGTGGCCTGTCTCTACTTTTGACACCAAAGACCAAGGGAGGAGCCTAGACTTCCATTGTCACCTGGTTGTAATGAGGAGGCCGAGCCTCTGTCAGGGGGTGTGAGAGAGGGCCAAGTAGAGAGCCAGGATGTTCATTCCCACTGGGCAGGAACAAGCCCCCAACACCCATGGTGTCAGTGGGGGCCACGCAAGGAGCAACAGCAACATGCTTCTACACCTCCCAGCAAGGGTGCTATCATCAAGACCCAGAGCGGAAGTGAAACTCCCACCCCCACCTAGTGTAATGAGGAGCCCCACCTCCCTGGTGGGACTCCAGGCTCTACATCCATTCGGCAATAATAAGGTGCACCAATTCCCCTTGGGATGGTATTAGAAGAAGCCAGCTAAGCCAGAAAGTTTAGATGCAGGTTCAGAGTCTCATAATATAATACACAAATTGTCCATCTTTCAATAAAATATCATTCATCATATCAAGATCCAGGAAAATCTCAAATTGAATGAAAAAAGACAATCCATAGGTGCCATCACTGAGATGACAGTGATGTTAAAATTACCCGACACAGATCTTAAAGCAGCCAGCATAAAAATGCTTCAACGAGCAATTATAACATGCTTGAAACAAATGAAAAAATAAAGTCTCAGCAAATAAATAGAAGATATATAAAAGAAACAAAAGAAATGTTAGAACTGAAAAATACAATAATCAAAATAAAAATCATGCAGTAGATGAGCTCAACAGCCGAATGGTGGGGACAAAGGAACAAATCAGTGAACGTGAAAAGAAATATGGACACCACCCAATCTGAACAACAGAGCAACAATAGACTGAAAGGAAAGAATGGACAGTTTCTTGGGAACCTGTGAGACTGTAGCAGAAGGCCTGACCTTTGTGTCACCATAGTCTCAAGAAGGAAAGGAAAAAGAAGTGGGCCTGAAAAAGTGTCAAAGAAATATTGGCTGAAAACTTCCCAAGTTTGGCAAAAATCACAAATCTATAGATTCAAGAGGCTGAGCACCTCAAACCGGATAAACCCAAAGAAATCCACACCAAGGTACACCAGAGTCAAACTTCTGAAAACTAAAGACGAAGAAAGAAATCTTAAAAGTAATTGAGAGAGAAGTGACCCCTTACTATCTAAAGGTCCTTAACCACAGGTCAAAGAGGAAATCTCAAGAGAAGTGAAACTGAATGGAAATGAAAGTGTAATACAGGCACGCCCCAGAGACATTGCAGCTTCAGCTCTAGCCCACTCAATAAAGTGAATATCACAAGAAAGTGACGAAGTGTTTGATTTCCCAGTATATATAAAAGTTTTGTTCACACTATACTATAGTCTATTAAGTGTACAATAGCATTATGTCTAAAAAACAATGTGTATACCTTAATTTAAAAATGTTTTATTGCTAAAAAATGACAACCATCATCTGAACCTTTAGCGAGTTGTAATCTTTTTGTTGGTGGAGGGTTTTGTAAAAAACACAATATCTGTGAAGCACAATAAAGTGACGTTCAATAAAATGGGGCACGCCTGTATATCAAAATCAGTAGGGCACAGCCAAAGTAGTGCTGAGAGGAAAATGTATAGCCTTAAAAGCTTACATTAGAAAAGAGAAACCATATTAAATCAAGAATCTACACTTCTACCTTGAGAATTTAGAAAAAGAAGAGCAAAATAAACCCAAACCAAGCAGAAAGAAGGGAACAATAAAAATAAGAGCAAAGATCAATGAAATTGAAAACAGAAAAGCTATGGAGAAAATTAATGAAACAAAAAGCTGATTCTTTGAAAAGTTCAATAAAATTGACAAAGCTTTAGCAAGATGGACAAAGAAAAGGAGAGAGAAGACACAAATCACCAGTATTTTGAATGAAACAGAGGATATCACTACAGACCCAGCAGACCTCAAAGGCTATTGAGGAAGTACTCTGAACAACTCAACACACATAAAATTGATATCTTTGATGAATTCCTCAAAACCCACAAACTACCACGTCTAACTGAAATAGATCATTTGAATAACCCTATAGCTATTAAGGAAATTGAAGTTGTAATTTAAAACCTCCCCAAAAAGGAAATTTCTAGGTCCAGATGACATCACTGGGGAATTGTACCAAAATGTGTAAAGAAGAATTAACTCTAATTCTATGCAATCTCTTCCAGCAAATAGAACAGGAGCAAACTCTTCCCAGTGTGATTGCTAGTGTTACCTGATACCAAAGCACCCTAAGACAGTACCGAGAAAAGAAAACTGCAGGCCAACATTCTTTATGAATATAGATACAAAAATCCTCAATAAAATACCGGCAAGTAGAACTTAGTAATATATAAAAATAATTATATACTGTTACCAAGTGGGGTTTATTCCAGAGATGCAACACTGTTTCACTATGCGAAAAATCAATGTAATCCACCTTATTAATAGGCTAAAAAAAGAAAAACCATGTGATTATATCAATTTAGGCAGAAAAAAACCTATGACAAGACTCAACATCTTTAGGGGAAAGCAGATATGGTGAATGACTGCTTAAAGGGTATGGGTTCCCTTTCAGGTGATGAAAGTGTGCTGGAACTAGATAGTAGTGATGGTTGCACCACATAGTGAATGTCTTATATGTCACTGAATAAACACTTTAAAGTGCTTAAAATGGTATATTTTTGGTTATGTGTATTTTATTACTTTAAAATTTTTTTAATTCAACACCTATTCATGAAAAAATTCTTAGAAAAATAAAGACAGAGGGAGAACTGCCTCAACTTGATAAAGAGCATCTGCAAAAAACCTACCATTAGCGTTATACTTAATGGTGAAAGATTGGTGCTTTCCCCCTAAGATCAGGAAAAAGTCAAGGATGCCCCTCTTGCAACTTCTATTCAACATTGAGCTGGAAATTCTAGATAGTGAAATAAGCAAGAAAAGGAAATAAAAGGCACTCAGCCTTGGACGGAAGAAATAAAATTGTCCTTGTTTGCAGGTGACATAATTGTCTACATAGAAAATTCTAGGAAATATACCAAGACCAAAAAACCTCTTAGAACTTTAGCAAAGTCACAGGATAGAAGATAAACATACAAAATCAATGTATTTCTATATACTAGCGTGAACACAGTGACACTGAAATTAAATTAATACTAGACCTACCATATGATACAACCACTCCACTTCTGGGTATTTATCCAAAGGAAACGAAATCAATATCTTGATATTGATATCTGCACTCCCTCGTTCATTGCAGCCTTACTTGTAACAGCCAAGATGTGGAAACAACATAAGCGTTGTGAATGGACAAAGAAAATGTGGCGCATATACACACACAATTATTTAGCCATAGAAAAGAAGGAAATCTGGCCATTTGTGACAACATGGATGAATCTGGAGGACATTATGCTAAGTGAAATAAACCAGACAGAGAAAGACAAACACTGCATGATCTCACTCACATGTGGAATTAAAAAAAAATTAAACCCAGAGAAACAGAGAGTAGGACAGTGGCTGCAGGGGCTAGGGCTTGGGGTGGTGCAGGGAGTGGGGAGATGCTGGTCAAAGGGTACAAACTTCCAGTTAAAAGAGGAATAAGTTCTGGGGACCTAATGCACGGCATGGTGACTATAGTTAATAATACTGTATCGTATACTCTGAATTTGCTGAGAGTAAATTTTAAGCTTTCTTGCCACACACACAGAAAGTTAACTATGTGAGGTGATGGATGTGTTAATTAACTTAATTGTGGTAATCATTCCACAATGTATACATATACCAAATCATCATGTTGTACACTTTAAATATATACAATTTTATTTGTCAGTTATACCTCAATAAAATTGGAAAAATACATACTGTGTTCACAGATTGAAAGACTCAAAATGGTGAAGATATCAATTCTTCCCAAACTGATTTTCATGTTTAACATAATTCCTATCAAAATCCCACCAAGATTTTTTGCAGATGTAGACAAGATCATTCTAAAATTTATATGGAAGTACAAAGGAACCAGAATAGTTAAAACAATTTTGAAAAAGAAGAATAGGAAGAATCAGTCTGTGACTTTAAGACTTATTATATAGCTGTGAGTTTAGCTATATAGATGAATGGAACAGAAAATAGAACTCCGAAATAAACCCACACAAATAGCCCAAATGATTTTTGATAAAGGTGTGAAAGTAATTCAGTGGAGGAAAGAGCCTTTTCAACAAATGGTGATGGAGAAATCAGACATTCATTGGCCAAAAGACTGAAACTCGACCTAAACATCACACCTGATAAAAAATTAACTCAAAAAAGATAATGGACTTAAATGTAAAACTTAACAGTATAAAGCTTTTGGGAAAAAAAAGAGAAAAATTTCAGGATTTAGGACTAGGCAAAATGTTCTTAGACTTGACACCAAAAGCACAATCCATTTTTAAAAACTTGACAAATTGAACTTCATCAAAATTAAAATCTTTTGCTCTGCAAAATTTCCCATTAAGAGGATGAAAAGACAAAATGTAGACTGGGAAAATATATTTGCAAACCATATATCTGACAAAGGAATTGTCTAAAACATACAAAGAACTCTCAAAATGCAACAAAAAAAGTCTAATTAAAAATGGTCAAAGGACACGAAGATACATTTCACCACAAAGACATCGTGGAAGACCGTGAAAAGATGTTCAACATCATTGACCGTCGGGGTAATGTAAATTAAAAGCACTACATACCTGTCAGAATGGCTAAAATAAAAAAGATAGTGATAACGCCAAATGCTGGCGAGGATGTGGATCACTCATACGTTGCTGGTGAGAATGTAAAACGGTACAGCCACTCTGGGAAACAATTCAGCAGTTTCTTTAAAAACTAAACATGCAACTGCCATATGACCCAGCAATTGCGTCCCTGGGCAGTTATACCTGAGAAATTAAAACTTATGTTTACACAAAAATCTGTACAGGAAAGTACATGGCAGCTTTTTGTGTAGTAGCTGAAAACTGGGAACATCCCAGATGTCCTTCAATGAGTGAATGGTTAAACAAACTATGGTACCACCACATCATGGAATATGATTAGCATTAAAAAAAGAATGAACTATTGATGGATTTGTCAACCTGGGTGAAGCTCCAGAGAATTACGCTAAGTGAGAAAAGCCAAAGCCAAGATTACATACTTCATGATTCCATTTATGTAAAATTCTTTAAATGACAAAATTATAGACATGGAGTCTAGATTA